TTGAACCCGTGACCTGCACGATAGCCAGTGGTAAGTAGGTCGCCGTAGGTTGTAGGCTGTAGGGAGATTCGAACTGTAGACCTGTAAGGTAGGAGTCCAAGTAGAGTCCAGAGGCCTAGCTGTAGTCCTTCTAGAAGGTCGGCAAGTGGTCAAGTGGTGAGTCTAAGGTAGGCCCACGTTTTCAGACGAAGACAAGTGGCAAGGTCGGCCAGTATGCTGCGTTGCTGTTTACATGCATGAAAAGTGTGCTTGAGAACGAGTCTGATTGCACACAATCCCATACATCTGCGTCTACCGGTCATACGAGTTAGATTCTTACACCATGACCATATTTCCCTGGGCCTGTACTCGATACGAATCCAACTACGCACAATAAATTCCAGGCCAAGTAAAATAAAGAATTAACGATAAAATAAAATAAAATAGACTAAACTGACTTAGTACGCTGAATGGTATGCCAACCCTGTTCAGGTACATCCTGGGTACAGCTCAGGCGTAATCGCCGCGTCGCCATGTCCTATTTGCCTGGTCACATACCTTGTCGCTGGTCAGTCAAGTTGCCATATTGCTTCTCAAAGCCAGGGATCCAGGAATTCCCTCGCACCTGGACTGTAGTGGCCACCTCACTCAACACGCACCGTCAGCATTTCCTGCAGTGCACCCAGAGTCCCCCCGCAGGGTACCACCAAGGAAATGACCCCTCTTCTCTAGAAGCCAAGCGTTCACCACTTCCCTAATATTTTCCCAGAAGGTGGACCCCTCACGTCCTTTCATCCACTGCAACCCGGCAAGCACAACTTTGCCTGGGTAGCTCAATTTGCAGAGTCCGCCCACTGATGTGAGGACAAGACAGGTCAGTCCTAAGTCATTTGAATTGTTGGCGATCCTCAAGATTGTGCTTACCACAGTAGCAAATTTCGCTGTTCGTGGGCCAAATTAATCGAAATCCTTATAGATCCGGAACTTCAGTGGAACCACCCACTGAAATTTGTGGGACATCAAAATCACAGATGGAGACCCTCTCACAATCAGCCTTGTCTCAAGAAAATCAAGCACGCCGTTCCCAGGATCAGTGCGTTCAAGCTGCAGCCCTACTGGGTAACAGTTTGTTACCAAATCCAGCAGCTCAGCAGCTCTCACTCGACTCCCGGCTTCATCCTCCCGAAAAGAAACAGATCAACAGATCATTGATGTACCGTTTCCCCGACATGTACTCCCGTCATTCCCCAGCGAACTCAAGAATTGGAATTCTGCCAACATACACATAACGCAGGCAAGCGGAGGGCTTGCTCTCCCACCCATAGGAATTCCCTTCTTCTGTCTCAGAACAATCTGAGACCAGGAAGAAGGTATTTTTCAGATGATAATCAGTGAGCATAATGCCATAATCAGCTTACTTAATCGCACGGATTTCCAACTGGCCTCCCCATGTGATCGACCAATCGTTGCAGCTCTCTTCCTCATGTTGACCCTGATCCACCTGATACCTTTGGAGTGGAACAGCTCCACGGTCCAGCTTACCGCATGACTAATCTCAGCACGTGGCAGTTGCGTGAACATTTCTTTATGAGAGACCACAAACCATTTTTTTTTTTTTTTTTTTTTTTTTTTTTTTTTTAAGACCACAAACCTGAGGTTAGCTTGCTCAGCTTTTTTATTAATCCCGTCGATTTGCTTCTTTAATCCGTCAATTGCTTACAAATTAAAATGTGGCGCTGTAACTCTCTTAATTAGAGTGTTCAGTGCAGTGGGGAAGCAAACCAGACACAGACCTGAAAGGACTCGAAAAGGAAGGAACAATAGGTTGCCTCTTCATTTTGTCATTTTCCTTTGCTATGATGTACGCATGTTGCAGTTCACCTCTCCGGTCCGTGTCCATCAACTTATCAAGCTGGCATTCCACATACCTAGCTTTCATCTCTCCAAGTACTGTTTCCCTTGTCTTCTGGATGCACCCATAGTTATCATTGTCCAGGTACACATCTTTCTGAGGCCTTCTTCATATAATTTTGGACACTCCACCCATGTTTCGCTGGTATTGCGGTCCAGTGTGATCGAACCAGCCCTTCAAGTGCCTGTCCAAGCCCAACCACGTACTCACCTCACTCAAGACACACTCCTTAGCCTTCACGGCCCCAACTTTTGAGACACTCAACCAATCAATGCGAACCACACCAGAAACAACTCCCGCTTGCTTCAGTCCATCCACCGCATTGTTGCAGACACAGGTCAATGCATCCTTGGACGTGAATGTACCCGGAAATGGTACATTCTTAGCATTAAAAAGGAAAGGGTGGACATCTCCACTGTCACTAAGCTTAACTGCTACATGCCCATTAATCGTGGGCAAGTTAAATCCTGCGCAGACACACTCAAACTCCCGCATCTGAGCAAAGGACTTCTGGTTATGCAGAAGATCCCCAACTGTGTTGGCTTTCAGCTACACAGCTTTTGTTCTCCTTGCGTACAAGTCAGGTAGCGATACTGGTAGGATTTCCTGCCTTATCCATGCTTTCATATTACTTTGAACTTTGCACTTATCAACAGTAGTGCAAAAAGGAATTTTAAGAACCACATTCATCCGAGGGTTCAGGCCAAATTTCTTCTTAAAGACGTTTGTCAGGAGTCCACGAGCAATTTGTCGACCGCGCGGTTGATTGAGTGTTTTGAACTGTTTTCACCCCATTTTAAGATCGGTGAGTTCCTCAAGTGTGCAGGCAAACAGATCCCTCCTTTTCCATGGCGCCAGTAGCAGTGCAATAAGGCGAGCTTTCAAAAGGTCAGTCCTCGTCTTTGTCTGGTATAACTCAGTAATAGACCAACACCCACCTTTCTCAATCCCAGGCTCACCATCTTTAACCAAGCACTTTTCATCATTAATTTTAATCTTTGAAAAGCCAAAGAGCAAGGATACCAGCCTCCAGGCACTCAACCATCTGCACCCCTGATTATTACTCACACACACTCCACTCCTTTGCTTCTCCTTCACCAAAAGCTTAAGGATCTGAAGGAAGTCTGGTTCCTGCCTCACACTCAAAACAGGACAGTCAAACAATACAGGCACCGAAATGGCCACCGGAGGCGGTCTATCAGCCACTTTCTTCCTCCCGTGGGCTCCTTCAAGGCTTCGTCTTCAGTTTCATCCCCTTCATATGAACCTGGATTGTGACTCAAGATTATTTTCCGCTCCCTACAACCAATCACTGCGTCTTTCCCAAACCAGATAGGTATCGGTACATAATTCTCTAACCCAACCTTCCGCAGCCAAACATGCACGTGCTGTTTACTAGTGCCCCTAACAGCATGGCAGTCTTCAGCCCACCTTTCCTTTATTGGACGGGTTGTCTTCCCGACATATACTAAATTAGTAATCTATGGTTTAGTGATAAAGCATCATAAAAGTGCATACACACACCCTGTGCCCCGGAGACTCCTGTCGCTCTCAGGCTCAGACATTCGGAGCCAGAAGCTTTCATATGCTCTTCCCCAAGCTATATCCCCACAAAGTATAACCCCGGCCAGATTGCACCTACGGGTCTGTATGGTGTGATCCGCCCCACATAGTGCTGTCCGACCATCTTGATGTCACCGGCCTGCATGGTGCCACCTTGCCGTGGCAAGGGCTAAACTTTGCCTGGTGTTAGCAATGTCGATTTTTTTGGGGGGGGGTTCATGGCCTCCGCCGCATCCGCGGCGGGCATCCACTTGTTCTCTTTCTTTTTAAAAGAAAAAGAATATTCATCAGCTCCCCATTCTGCAACAGACAACTGCAGACAACGCAGCAGCTTCATTACCCAGTCAAGGACTGGAAGACCAAAGGACTGACAATCCGCAGCTGGAATGTCAACGGCCTACAAACTTTTCAAATGTTGGCAGCTCTAAAATTGTTCATATTGTTTGCATATGTGGAAACAGGTACGGAAGATGAAAGAATTTGAAGAGAAGGTGAAGCCACTTGTCAATGATCGAATACGCAGGAGAAAGGCACTTGAGGTGTAGTACCATAGCCCATTTCCTGTTCAAGCTTTCCTGAATTTAAGTGGTCCTTCATTTGTCATCTTGAAACTTTCTGCCAGTTGTTTCATCTCGTTGTTGTTGAGCTAACCACGATGTTATCAAGTTCACCTTCGTGTTGTTGAAGGTTTCATTTCAGAGTTTTTTGTGTGGGATTTTTCAATCATTTTTGCCTTTTTGTGTTGTGATTGAAGATTTGGCTACCATCTTCACCCGAACAGAACGCCCGGTCATTATAGCTGTATTTGGCACAACTTTCAGCCCAGATACGGCGATAATTACCAGGCGTTCTATTCGGGTGAAGACGGTAGCACGATGACTCAGAATAGCTTTTCTTTTCCTAATTTTTAATCGTCCTTTCACCTTGCTTTGCGTTTTTGTTCCAACAAAAATGGCTAACCATGGGATTCACTTTGAACTCTCCAGAGTTCCTGGAGGGAGTGTTATTCGAATAATACTCCTGCGAGTTATGCTTGGTAGAATACGGTGGTGACAAGGCAGGTGACACCATGTGGCGGCTGTGGAATGCGTGCATGGCATGCCCAAAAGCATCAGTGGGGCATGGTGCAGAACCGAAGAACCGACCGAAGGAGAAAGAGCAATAACAATGCAGTGGAAGACTGATATACCCAGATCTGGCTCATCATGACTCAGGACCAACCACGCACACATCCATCATCAAGCACACATGAGTGGCGTGGTAGTGCATACACAGAAGAGAGCTGCCATGCTGAATGTGCATCCACAGATGAGGGTGGTGAGGAGGAGACGAAGTGGGAGACATCAAATCAATTGCCCTGTGAATGTATAGTCTCCATCAATAGTCCCACACAATGAATAGCATACTTGCAGTGCACCGTGCTTGCAGTGCGCAGTGCGCACATGGGTGATTCGCACGCACGTGTGCACCGCGCGCATTGCACGTGCATGGGAGGTGCGCTGGGGTACGCGCTACTATCTCCCATGCGTGCACACAGGTGGGTGGGGTATTTTTCCTTCTTTTTTTTTTTTTTTGTGTGTGTGTGTGTAGTGTGTCCCCTGTGAGTCCAAATAGTCCAGTCGTTTCATCCTTTCTTTTCTTTTTCTGTCTTTTCTTTCAAAGGGCGACCGCGGAATGAAACATTTATTCTATTCATCTGAGGCAACCGTCTTCAATCACGGCCAGACCTGGATGAATCTGACCACAGTCACGTCTAGAGTGTTGCCGAAAACGTCCTAGTGGGAGTATGGGTCTCGCTCCACCACACGAGACTCCACAAAAAAAATTGTGAGTGCTTCTAGAGCTGTCAGAGGTCTAGAACTCTTGAAAAAAGAGGCATCGCTCCACTTACTCCAGATTCAAGAACTCTAGAAGCACTCACGAATTTCTCAGTGCTACATGACAGCGCTTCTACAGCGCTACATGACAGCGCCAGCTCGTTCTGACGGTCGCGGCAGGAGGCACACTCGCAAAAAGAAGAGGCCGGAGCGGGGGTAGGAGCGAGGACGCTAGAAAACCTGAGCGTTGCAGGCTGTGAACTCTAAACAAATTGAGAGTGCCCCTCGAGAGCGCTTTCTGACAGCTCTCGAAGGGTGTTGTCATGAGTTCCAGTCTAGAGGAAGTCGAGCCAAGCGTCACTCTCGAAACTTCACGAGTCTAGAGTAGTGTAGCAAGGCCCTATGCCCTCAGGGCGCCAGTGGAGGACACAACGATCTGTTTCTGACTCACAAATGGACTGACAAATGGCCATCAGAAACGGCAATTTGTCAGGAACTGCTGTGAAATAGGCTGCCAGAAACGGCCGTTCTCAGGAGCACAATTTCCTAATGGGACCTGAGCAATCACTTGTGGTGAGGCCCCACTAGCAAGGAGGATTGGATTTCGCACCTGGATCTGGTTGGGTTTTGAGCATAAATGCAGAAATGCAGATCAATCGCGATCGTATGCCCTTCTTCACAAACACGTCCAGATTCAGGCCCGCAATCCAATCCTCGTTGCTAGTGGGAGTCACCGTGGAGACATTCCAAAAGAAGCATGGAGGGGGGCAACGGCCTTTCACGATGTCGTCATTTTGTCAAAAGGGCAGAGAAAAAGAGAGAGATTATGACAGTATGCGGCTGGAAAGATAGCTTCCATGCACTCCAATAGAATCCGAGGAGCAACGGCCCTAGCACGAATCTCGGAGCTTTTTTTTTTTTTTTTTTTTATAGGCTAATTCTTTAAGCCCAACCAATTCAATTTGTCGAATCTGGACAGGACGGCCTTTCAGGTCTTTTTTTATTGTCATTATAGTATTACGGGGAACCCCGTAGCAGCCACATCCATGCTCAAGCCTCCAATGAGGGAACATGCGGGAGCTGCACCCACCGGCAGGTGCGATACCTGCTACAGCATGTGGGTGATACCTGCCAGGGGTCAGCCGGTAGCATCAGGACCGAGCTTCTTCGATGGGCCAGTCACTGTGCCTCCCCTCCGGTCCCCTTCCCCTATGAACATCACCAGTCTCTGCTCAATGCCACTCAGGGGGACCAACGGCATATCTCTAGGTGGCGGCCGCCAAGCTTCCCAGGGAGGTACATGAGGCCCCCAATACCTCTTGAATGCCACTTGCGTGCCTTACCAACTGAGCTAGGCCGCTGGACCTCTCGGAGCTTCCATATGCCCGAGAATCTGGTTGTTTGCCAGAAAACAAGACAAAAAGGCATTATTAGTGTTTGCGGCGTGAAACATGGCTGGGATGCATTCAATAGACGGCACATCTATATATAGCGCTGGGCCTACTGGATGCTGTGTCGGACTGCATCCTGGATCGTCCGATCGGGATGCCAATCGACGGTCCAGGAGGAAGGCCCGAAGCCTGGTCCTGGGAAAACGTGTGCTGGACCTAAAAACCGCGGTCCAGTCTGGGAGGGACTGCGCCTGGCCTATCCTACGGCCGCTGGGCCTGAATCAGCCCCACAATGCTGGAACGGTGCATCCAGTCCGAAAACCCGAATCAGACAGTGAACTATCCAGACCGGACACAAACTGCGGGCAGACAAATACCTGAGAACGCATCGGCAAGAACTCAGAAAAGGAATGCAGACGACCCCAAAAAACGAACACAACACCCCAAATTCGTACCCTGCCCCCTAGGCTAGTGTTGGGCCTCAAAGAGGCCTGTGTGGGATGTGTGCATACCACAGGCAGCTCTACTGGGGTGTGGTGAAGTAATTCTCAGCAGGCTTCACTTTCACCCCAACCCACTTAGCGTATCGGTTCAGTGTCTTCTTCCTGAGTAGGCGGTCCCGAGTTCGAATCCTTGAGTGCAATCTGTATGTCACTACGTTGCAATCTGTATGTCACTACGTCCATACAGTGACAAATACAGAAAAACTACTTGCGTTAGCTGTGTGATGACTGCAGGACGTTTGTGTGTGGTTGTGTACAACAGGTCGCGGAGCAGTCCATGCCGATGTGGGGTGAAGTATTCCTCGCCAAGCTTCAATTTCGCCCAAGCAACTTAGCTTGTTGGTTAAGTGTCAGCTTCCCAAGGAGAAGGTCGCAAATTCCAGTCCTTGACTGGAATTTGTGTGTGCCCATGTCCATATAGCGATGAACGAAATAAGCTCCATGCAGTAGCAGCTGGGCGGTGGCTTCGGCATATGTGTGTGTGGTTGGATGCACAAGGCCACAGAGCAATCCATCCTGGGGTGAGGTGAAGTATTCCTCAACGGGCGTCACTTTCGCGGTTTCACTGCAACCCACAGCCTTTTGGTCTATTGTCCACTTCCTGAGCAGAAGGTCACGAGTTTCATTCCTTGTAAGGAATTCATGTGTGGCTATGTCCACTGTAATATACCATTTGGTCATTTTGGTGGTTAAAATGGGAAAACAAATCAGGACAAGAAGCCACCGATATGAATGTAATCAAGTGAATCAACATAAATCATGCAACTTACAATCACTTCAATGGCTCTCATGATGTGCTTACCTGAGGACAAACATCTTGAATTGACCAACCTTCTTTCGAAATGTCTAGAATGCAACAACCCGCGCTGGAAATGCCACAAACGAACCAGTTTATTTTGTCTAAATATATCTGATCGAAATTCAAACAGTAACAGTAACAGGGAATGCCAGTATTAGCAACTGTCTGACAGTGAACCTGTAAGGTGGATGGGTTTCCTAGAAGCTACCCTTTGGGGGCCAAATGAAAGATCGAGCCTACTGGATCCATCTCCTCTTAACTGCCTTGCTTGCGGGTTGGAAGACTGACGTCAAATTTCCATGAGGGGAATGACAAAATGGCTGGGAGGGGGTGATGTGTGAGGGTAGGTGAGGGGGGGAGGAGGAATGGAAGAGACTCAAAAAAAAGAGTCAAAAGAGACTTGGCCTTTCCCTAATCTTCTTGAATCTGAGCATTTCCTTGCCGACTAAACGTGTATACTGCAGGCTGAGCATCGGCAGCTTGTTGACGAGATTGAGGCTGCAGTAGCTTCATATGACAATCATCTCAGTCAGCTTCTTCAGAAAAAGGTTTGCTGTTCTTCTCCTGGTCGTTCCCACTCTCCCTCCCCCTCCGCCCCCCCTCATTGAAACAGGACCTTATGGTCTCATCGCCATCTATCCTGGGGAGCATCCGGTTCCTCTCCTTGTCAAAAGCCAATTTCACATTTTGATGATTTTGGGCATTTCCTCTTTTTTTTTTCCCTTTTTTGGTTTAAAAGAGAAGCATAACCTTATGCACAATAATGAAGAAGAATAGCATATCATGTGAGGCTTTGCTCTTGCGGAGGACATAATATGCACAAAAACAAGCTGGAGCATCCGATAATGTGCACAAAAACGAACTGTGGCATCCTGTCGGATGCTCCAGCCGCCCAGCATCGCCCTTCTGCCTCATCCATTTTATGCCAGGGAGTAACCACTTTGGTTCGCAATCTCCCGGAAGGTTAAAAGTGCAGACACTGCAGAGTAGAATAAATCATTTTTTTTGTCCTTCGGCCCTTCAGGACATCTGTTAAAATTGGAACGATACAGAGAAGATTAGCATGGCCCCTGCGCGAGGATGACACGCATAAATCGAGAAATGAACCAAAATGGTCCAAATTAAAAAAGAAAAAGAAAAAAAAAAAGAATAAATCATTTTTTTGGACCTCGAAAACAATCCCTCGTAGCTTTTTTTCCTGAAAAAGTTCAAAAAACAACAATTCAGTGCATGCACCCCATCTTGGACCCAGTCGTTGCCTTCAGCCGCTGCCTTGCATGTAAAGGACCCAGCGCGAAACTTCTGTCTTCGTCCTTTCGTCCCATTTAACTCATGACCTGTGTCATCAAGAGTGATGTATACCATACAGCCACAGGCAGGTACACCCTCCCATTTCAATTGTTAGCAGGTCCCCAGATAACAGCCTCCTGTATCTAAATGTGTGTAACGGACCC